CACTTTTAAAGCATTGTGGTTGAATAATATGCTTGGTATGATTTCAGTCTTCTTTAATTTGTTGAGTCTAGTTTTGCATCCCAATATATGGTCCATCCTTGATGCTGTTCCATGTGCACTACAGAAGAATGTATAATTTGGTGTTATGGGATGAAAGGCTCTGTAAATGTCAATTATGTCCATTTGGTCTAATGTGTCATTTGGGGCCTACTATATTTGCTTATTGATTTTCTGTTTGGGTGATCTATTCATAGCTGTCAATGAGGTATTTAGGTCCCCTATTATAATTGTGTTATTGTCAGTTTCTTCCTTTAGTTTTGTTAGTAGTTGCTTTATACAGAGGGTGCCAAAAAATGTATACACATTTTAAGAAAGAAAAAATTTGTATTAAAATTGTAATACAATGAATGATGTTAGCATTTTTTGATTAATGCCATCTTTTGAGCGAATTTCATACTACACATTGCTATGTAATTCAATTCAACTTTGAAAAGTAATACATAAATAATATCTCAACGCTTTTGCTCTGATGGTCGGATACATCTGAATGAATATTTCCATTTGCTGACTGTGGATGGAATCTTCCAGAAAGGAAGTTTAGGAAAATAGATGTACATTTTTCTATATTTTTGTGTTTTTCAAGAATAAATAAGAATAGGACACTTTTATACATCAAATATGTCATTTATATACAAAGCAGCTCAAATTGTTATTATTAAATGAATAAAGTAGTCAAAATATCAACTTTTTGTTTTTTTGTGTGGATTTCTGACACATTTAAAAAAACTTGAAATCAATTACACAGTGAAAGAGTTAAAATGTGTCTACGTTTTTTTGGCATATTTTGGTATATATTGATATATATTGATAACTATTATGTCTTCTTGATGTATTATCCCCTTTATCATTGTGAAGTGTCCATCTTGGTCACTTGTTACTTCTTTATCTTGAAGTCTATTTCATCAGATATAAGTATAGCTATACCTGCTTTTTTTCTGGATGCCCTTTGTTTGGGGTATTCTTTTCCACCCTTTCACTTTGAGTCTACATTTGTCCTTGCAGCTAAGATGTGTCTTTTAAAGTCAGCATATGGTTGGGTTTTGTTTTTTGATCCAATCTGCTACTCTGTGTCCTTTTATTGGTGAGTTCAGACCACTTAAGTTTAGGGTGATTGTTGATATATGAGGATTTTTCTATAACCATTTTATCTTTTGTTTTCTGGTAGCTTGGTGTCTCCATTGTTTCTTTGCCCTAGTGTTTCTGCCTGTTATTTTGGTTTGGTGGTATTGTATTATTTTTTTCCCTTTTTTTAATGTTATGTGTCTCATGTGTGGATTTTTTTGTGTGTGGTTACTATTAAATTTATGTAAAAGAATGATTCATAAATACAGTAGTCCTTTTTCTTCTGCATGCATCTTATCTCCATTCCCCTTTGCATATTCAGACCTTTACCCCCTTCCCTTTTATGTTTTTGTTGTCGCAAATTATCCCTATTAATGCGGTAAGTTTATTTCCTAATTACAGTAACAATGTTCTTCTTCTCTTTTACTCTGTTATGTTTTTACCTTTTAAAACCTTTATGTTATATTTAAGCATATAGTGCCTTATTCTGAATAGGGGTCGCAATTTTCTGTTTCTATCCGTCTTTTAGTCATCTTACTCGTAGTTTTGTAATCTTCTGTTTTTTTTGTTTCAGGTGGAATAATCCACTTCAGTATTTCCTGTAATATAGGCCTTGTGGAAAATTTCCTCAGCTTCCGCATGTGTGGAAAGGTCTTATTTCTCTTTCATATATAAAGGGTAACTTTGCTGGATTCATTATTCTTGACTTTAATTTCTCTCTTTTAATAGTCTGAATATTTTATTTTTCTCCCTTTTAGCTTCTAGTGTTTCTGCTGAAAAATCTGATGACGATCTAGTGGGCTTTCCTTTATAAGTTACCACCTTCTTTTCCCTGACTGCCTTGTGAACCTTTTCTTTGTCATTAATTTTTGATAGTTTCAATATAATGTGCTTTGGAGAATGCCTTTCTGGATTGAGGTAATTAGAAGTTATTTTTGCCTTTTGGATTCAAGGATCCAGTTCTTTCCATAGGTTTGGGACGTTCTTGTCAACTATTTATTTGAGTAGGCTCTCTGTGCCCTTCTTTGTCTTCTCCTTCTGGTACACTCATTAATCTTATATTGCTCTTTCTGATGGAGTCAGATAGTTCTTATAGAGTTCTTTAATTTCTCTTAACTCTCAAGTCTCGCTCTTCTTTCATCTGCATCATTTCCAGATTTCTAACTTGTATATCACTGATTCTTTCCTTCATTTGGTCAGCTCTATTTCCTAAGCTTACTATTTCATTCTTCAGCTCTTTTATTTAGTTCTTCGGCTCCAGAATTTCTTTTTGATTTTTAAAAAAATTTTAAATCTCTTTGGTAAAGTATTTATTTTGTTTGTTGATTTTATATCTGAGTTCGTTAAACTGCCTGAGTTTTCTTGATCTTGTTGATTTTTTCAGAACTGCAGTTTTGAATTCTCTGTCATTTAAGTCACACATTTCGATGTCTTTAAATTTATTTTCTGGAGATTCTTCATTGACTTTCTGAGCTGCCTTGTTACCTTGGCTGTTCATGGTATTTGATGGATTATTTCTCCTTTTAGGCATTTATGGGAATGACCCCTGCAGCAGGTTTATATGAAGAGGTCTTTCTTTTGTTTTCCAGTAGGTGGCGCTGGAGCATTTTATTTCCTTTTGCTCTGTTCCAGCTTCTAGTGGTAGAAGATGCTTTGTATTTCCTGGTGAGGTGGGCGTCTCCTCTGTGACCAGATCTCCTTGGTCCCAGGGCACCACCCCTGTGGGAGAATGTGGTGGGCAATGGGGTTCTGAACCTCTAAAATCCCAGTGGTGTCCTTGCAGCTAGATATAGTACTGTGCTGCCTGAGGTGACCCAGGTACCCCCACTGGGATCTGTTGCAAAGGAGGTGTGGTGTGGTGGGAGAGGCGGCTGGTGTGTTTGTGTCTTTGTTCTTCTCTGAGTAATGGTGACTGTCAGACCTCAACTGCTTGGCCTCTGTATCTCCACCCTCGTCACTGGATTAGCCCCAGTGTGCATTTGCCACTCAGGGGCTGTGCCTCCAGTTCTCAGGCGTGTAGATAATCTGCTCTTTAACCCAATATTCACTGCTACAGTTTTTTTCTGGAGCCTGCTGCTAGCTCTGGGGAAGGTGCAGGGAGGCAAGCTCTGGGAGGATGGGGGAGGCAGCCATGCTCGGTGGCTTCGTTTTCTGCCTGCTAGACCACAGCTGTCGCACTCTGTATTTGGTCTTTGCTCCAATCACTGGGTTCAGCCGTATTGTATGCTGATCACTTAGGAAGGAATGCTCTGGGTCACAGACAGTGCACCTGCAGCCTTAATCTTCCCTTCTCCCGGGACTGTAGTGAGCTCTGGGCTGAGTCTGAGGCACTCGTCTCTGCTGGTTTTCCTTCCCTCCTCCCCTCTTTGACCCAATTCACCCACCTTCAGATGTTTTGATGCACAGGTCTCTCAGACATGTTTGTGTATTGTGCAGGGAATCTTTTGTTGAATCATAGCTATTTCAGTTGTTGTAACTTCAAGGAGAGAGATTAAGGAGACCCCTTGTGCCTCCATGCTTCTGACATTATTCCTCTTTTTTTTTTAAAGATTTTTTTTTATTGAGGAATTGGGGGGATGGGAACAGTGCTGGGGAGTTGGGGGAAGGGGAACAGACAAGTTGCTGTCGTTTTGTTCTTCAGTCTAGTTGTGGAGGATGTTGCTTCACTGGCCCAAGTTGGCACCATCATTGCGCTCTTCTCTGGCGAGGCAGATCAGTCGCCGGCTTCTGGACGGCCGCTCACTGCGGCTGCTGGCCGCTCACGCTGGCTGCTGGCCACACACGGTAGCCCATGGCAATCCACTGCCACAGGGACTGCAGCGCACGCCGTCGCCGGCGACTCATGGCAGCCCAGCTCCAGGTTGAGCTGTTGTTCAGCATCTCAGCTGCGGAGGGCAGTGTCACTGGCCCTCATATGTGGGATCCGAACCGGGGCCCTCTGGCATCCCAAGCGAGTTCTTAACCATCGCGCCACTCGGCCGGCCCCGACATTATTCCTCTTTTACTTTCATTTAATTCCAGTATAGGGAGGAAAACATTTTCTCTACTCTCTTTGGGTCTCTGGCTGGGCCTAATAATTAAACTGACAAAGACATATTAGTGGGACAAAAGCATACACATTTTATTTTTACACAAGAAAATGAAGACCTGAAGAAGTGAACAGAGTAGGAAGATTTTATACCCTTTAGACAAAGAAATAATAAGTTGGTGAAGAATTGACAATATGGAGGGATTGGCCTGTGGGTGAAGAAGAAAGGTAAGGGTTAGTGTAACAAGGTTTGTTTATACAGCCTTCTTGGCCCCAAATTCCCTGTCTCTGGAGATGAGAATGTCTTCCCTCCTCCTGGTCCAGGGAGGGCACTTTCACAGGGGAGGTTTTCTCCTGCTTTCAGGAGGGCAAAGGAGGGTCAGAGTGTCTTTCTTGCACTGGCTGTTTCTCAAGAACTTTGATTTAAAATAATCAGTATGCCAAAGTGGCATATTTTGTGATGACATATTCTGATCCCCTTCATCAGGTACCCTCAGGGACAGAATTACTTAGTTTGCATCCATTTCTTTATTATCCACTCTGGATGGAATCCACCTGCTCAATTTCCTTTGACATCATAATACATCCATAAGGACAACTGGGCAATAGACTGACTGCTGAGAAGAGAGTGCCTCATCTTCACAAATGCCGCTCCCTTCTTTCTCAGTGGTAGGGGCAGAACAGCTTTGCCCACTACTGTAGCATTATGTCCACAGCCTTGCCTGTTGAGATACTTGTAATAAAAATACTGAAATTTTAGTTTTGTTATTAAGAAATATTGTATTGTTGATGACTTACGTTAAGAACCATGAATTCTATACATTGATCTCTTGGATTTTTGTTTTTCTAGACTGATCCAGTTGAAAACTCATTTGAACAGAATCTCGAGATCAAGTTTTACATCAGTTCTGGGTCCACATCTCCATCCTCACACAGTGGAGATGAAGCACACTCAGTTAATATGGCTCACTGGGCTATCTGTGCTCCCTAACTATTGACTTATAACCAAACAAATGGAGAATGAATCCCATTCACAAACAGAGTGATGCTTCCCTTCTAACCAAATACATTGCTTAGCTAGGCACAGTCTATTAGAAAATATTAAGTTTAACTGATAGCATGGGAAGATTTGAAACTCAAATGGGAAAACTGTTCCTGGAAATCAATGAAAAACATTCTTCCTGCACTTGAACAGGAGCTTAATTATGGTGTCTACTATGAAGCAAGGATTTAAAACAGCAGACAGCACAGTTATGTGAATAATGAAATGGTTGCTGTAACGTGGTGCAAGCCACAAAGGGACTGATCTGGAAGGGACAATTCTCTTGTTGTATGCATTGCTTTAATTAACATTAAGAAGTCATGATATAATAGGACCATTTTATATAATCACATCATAATAACAAATCTATTGTGTATATTTAATAAGGTATGAAATATATTCATAACTATATTTACTAATATTAGAGGTAATATTATATCTTCTACATAATGGTATATAAAACAGCTCTTTATTAGCCCTTCATGTTAATCAGAGAGCGTGATCCTCTGCAAAAGAAAATATTTCTTCCAGAAATCAAAGGGTTTCATGTTTCTCAGCTCACATTCTTCATCTTCATAAATGCCATTCCCTTCCTCCTCTGCAGCTTGCTCACTCAGGCACGGGTTGGGTTCTTTGCTGCCCACTCAAATCCTGCAGGCTTTGCGAAGAGTTCTGACAGAGACATGTAGTTTAGTTCGGAAAACCTCAGTGTGGCTTATAGCCAGGCCAGTCCTTATTTTCAAATTCTGCTCAGAGCCCCTGAAATTTTGATAGCAATTTTATTTTATACTATTGTTTTAAAATTTTAATAATGAAATATTTTCCATCATAAAGGAAGGTATAAGAAATAATGTAACACAAACTCATATACTACTATGCACAAATTTAGCGAAACAATGCCATTTTTTATTCAGATAAAATACAGTTAAGGTGATACTGAAACAGTTGAACCCATCTAATTGCGTTCTTCTCCCTCCTGCGAGGTTACTGGATATTCTGAAATGGTGTGTATTCTTCCTGTTCACGCTCTTATACTTTTTGTCCTTTGCATGCATCGTTAAAGTACATAGGACTGCTTGGTCTGTTTAAAACACACAAGTATTATCCCTCTTGTTTTGCAACTGATTTTTTAATACTATTTAGTAATGTTGAGATAGTTAATTCATTTGAATTACTGTGTAGTACTCCTGTGTATAAATATACTTAGATTTACATAACCATGCTCCTTTTGATGGACATTTGGGTTGATTTTCTTTTTCACTATTATACTTTCTTTACTACAATGAGCATGTTGGGACCTGTTTGCTTACATATGGGAGAGTTTTTTGGTTATTGGTAGTAGAAATGCATATTTTCAAGGTAAATTTTTGCCAACAGGGTTGTTTAATTTTTTGGAACAATCACAATTTTACAGAAATATTGCAAGCACAGTATAAATGTATTTTTCCTAGACTATTTGAATGTTGCCTTCACCTCTAATACTTTAGTGTGTATTTCTTACAAATAAGAATATCCCCCAACATATGTACACACAATAAAACCGTCATCATTAACCCTGATGCATTAGTACCATCTAATCCTCAAATGCCATTCAAGTCTCACCAATTGTGCCCATGTGTCAACTATAGCAAAAGGATCTCTTTAAAAATTGTGCTTTATATTTGGTTGTCATATTTCTTTAGTCTCTTTCCATCTGGAACAGTTTCTCAGTATTTCTTTGGTTTCATGACCTTGTGACTCTTGAAAGTCACAGGTCAGTGTAGATTAGAATGGCCCTCATTAAAAAAAATGTTTCTTTATGGCTCAATTTAGGTTATGCATCTTTGGCAAGAGTATCACAGAATGATGCCATGGTTTTCTAATTGTATTCTATCAGGTGGCACCTGATTTTGATTTATTCCATTACTGAAGATTTTTTTTGACCACTGCTCTTAGGTAGGATTTTCCAGGTCCCTTTATTCCTTTGTAATTAATAAGTATTTTGTAGTGAGGTACTTTGAAACTATTTAAGTATCCTATTCCTCACCAAACTTTTAATTTATTTATACCCATATGGACTCATGGTTTCTTACTTTAATAATGCCTAATAATCCATTATTGTCATTATTCTGATGTTTAAATGCAGATGTGGCCTGTGTAAACCTCTTAGGGTTTGCTACTGTGTCTTTTTGACATGTCTCCATCATACTTTGAGCACCTTCCTATCTGGCAAAACAAAATGCATCGCTTCATCTGTATTGCCCAAACCCTGGATTCAGCTCCTCCTTCCTTCCTTCTTTCCTTCCTTCCTTCCTTCCTTCCTTCCTTCCTTCCTTCCTTCCTTCCTCCCTCCCCGACCCCCTCTCTCCCTTTCTTTTTTTTTTATTAGTTTCAGGTGTGCAGAACAATGTAATAGACATTTATACCCCTCACAAAGTGATAACCTCCCCTCCCCCAGCCATTCCTTCAAAGAACACTGATAGCTTTTAGTGGAGAATCGTATTTAGAAGTCTAGATCTGGGTGTTAGGTGTATTCATTGTTATTTGGGTGTCACTATCCCAGGCCCTTTTATTGAACACAGCTAGAGATAAGAAATTTGTCAGTCTATATAAAGCTATCTGTTTATCTATCTATCTATCTATCTATCTATCTATCTATCTATCATCCATTTATGAAAACTATGAGTTCATACCCACATAGATGCCTCTGATTCCAAACTAACATCACAGGGTTCATTCTAGCTTTTTCCCTTTCCATATTTGTAACTACCTCCTGTGACAGTGAGAAACTTGCCTTTCATTACTCTCAATATGATTACTAATATGATCAATTCTATTCTCTCTAATCAGTCTCCCATCTCTGCAGCTAATTCATCCCTTCTTCAACTACCTGGACTCGGTGTCTGAACCCTAGGTTACCCTCCATGTGCACACTCTTTTCAGAATGCCTGGGCAATAGAGTTTTCAAAAGTTATTTTCTACTTCTAGCAGCATGTGAGTCCTCATTTCCTTATATCCATGTAAACACTTTCTGATGCTAGACACTTGAAATTTTGTAATTGTAATAGGTATGAATTAGTATTTAATTATTGCTTTCATTTTTTCATGCAGAGCTTTTTTTTTAACAAAAAGCTTTTGTAGTTGCTTTTGGATGAGAAGTTTTTTAATACTAATATAGTAAAATTCATCAGTCTTTTCTTTTAATGACTGTGCTTTTGAATTAAATCAATTTCTATTCTATATTTGTATCCTAAAAGTTCCTAAAAGATTTAAAGTTTGCTTTTTACATTTAGGCCCTTAAATCAACAGGAAATTAAAATTTTGTTTACTGTGAATTAGGATTATAACTTTTGCCACCATTATAGTTAGTTGTTCTAGTCTAATCCATCTACTAGTCTATCATTTCCCTAATAATTTGTAATGTCACTGTCACATACCAGCTTTATTTATTTATTTATTTATTCATATTGTGATAAGATATACATAATATAAAAGTTTCCATTTAATCACTTTTTAGTGCACAGTTCGGGGACATAAGTTACACACATGATGTTGTGCAAATATCACAGTATTTATTTTTCAAACTTTTCCATTTCCCCAAATAGAAATTCTACCCCCATTAAACAAGTACCCTCTATTCCCTCTCCCCTTAGCCCCAGGTAACCTTTAATCTACATTCACCTCCTTGGTTAAGTTTAGTCCTAAGTATATATTTTTCTATTTCATGCTATTTTAAGTGGAACTGTTTTACTAATTTCCATTTTATGTTATTCATTGTTAGTGTCTAGAAATGCAATTTACTTTTATGTATTGATTTTGTATTCCAGAACTTCACTACATTCATTAACTCTCATTAATTTTTGGAGAATCATTAGAGTTTTCTACATATATGATCATGTCATCTGTGAAAAATATATCCTCTTTCCAGGCAAATTTTATAATAATATTGCCTATTTCTATAAAAATTTATAGCACTGGTATTTTTGATAGGAACTGCATTAAACCTATATATTAACCTAGAGAGAATTAGCATCTTTATTGTGTTGTCTTCCAATCCATAAACTCAGTGTTCAGTACATGTGTCCATTTATCAGGTCTATTTTATTTCTTTCATTAACATTTTTTGGTTTTCAGAATTCAAGTCTTGTACATGTTTTGTGAGATTTACATTTAATATTTCATTTTTTAGCAATTGTAAATGGCATTATATTTTTATTTTAATTTCCAAGTATTAGTTGCTTGTATCATTGAAGTACAATTGATTTTTGTATGTTGATCTTGTAACTTCAGAAACTGCCAAACTTGTTTATTAGTTCTAGGAACTTTCTCTCTCTCTCTCTCTCTCTCTCTCTCTCTCTCTCTCTCTCTCTCTCTCTCAATCTCTCTCTCTCTTCCTGTAGGTTCCTTGGAATTTTCTCATGTCATCTGAAAATAGATACAGTTTTATTTATTCCTTTCCAATCTGTATGACTTATATTTCCTTTTCTTTCCCTCTTACCCTGGGCAAACTTGCAGTACTATGTTGTGTAGCAGTGACAAGAGTGGTCATCCTTCTTCTGTACCCCTACATTCAATCTTTCATCATAAGATATGCATAAGATGTCAGCTGTGGATTCTTTGTACATATTCTCATCAAGCTGAGGAAGTTCACCTCTGTTCCTAGTTTTTATCATAAACAGATGTTAAATTTTGTCAATTTTTTTCTGCATTAACGTGTATAAGCATGAGATTTTATCCCTAACTTGTTAATATGATGGGTGATATTGATTGATTATCAACTATTAAGCTACTCTTTTTCCCTGGAATAAACACTATTTCAGCCTAATGTGTACTTCTTTGTATATATTGATGAATTCTATTTGCAAATATATTGAGTTTTGCACTTATATTACTGGAGGATATTGGTCAGTCATGTTCTTTTTTTTGTACTGTGTCTGATTTGGGCATCAAAGTAATACTGGATTCATAGAATATGATAAGAAATATTTCTTTCTCTTCTATTTTCTGTAATAGATTATGGAGAATTGTTGATAATTCTTCTTTACACATTTGTTAGAATTTTCCAGTAAAAGCACTCTGGAGATTTCTTTTTGAGTGTTTTATAATTACAAATTTAGTTTTCTTAATAGATAACAGGGTATTCAAATTATTTCATATTGGGTGAGTTGTGGTAGTTTGTACTTTTGGAAAAATTGGTCCATTTCATCTAATATATTACATTAAAGATATATAATTTACTACTCTACTGGTGTAAACTTTTTACCAGATCAAGTAAAGAAACTTCACCTCCATTTATACCTTTACTCTTCCCCTTTATATTTGTGTTATGTATTTGCTCTACATGCACCAAGAAACATATTAGACAGTATTAATGTTATAATTTTTTATTCAACCATCCAACATAATTTAGAAAATTCAAGAGAAGGAAAATCTATCATTTACCCATATTTTCACTCTTACTACATTCTTTCTTCACTTCAATTCCTTCTTATATCATTTCCTTTCTGTGCAAAGTATTTACTTTAGCCATTCTAGGTATATTGGAGACAAATCCTCTTAGTCTTTTCATCTGAGAATGTGTTGATTTTTCCATCATTAAAAAAAACCCTGATATACACTTTATTTTCAAAAGTAGGTTTAGGTTTACAGAAAAATTGAGTGGCAAGTACATGTAGTTCTCATTTACCTCCTTAAGTCTCCACCCCAGTTTCTTTTAGTATTAACAATTTATAGTAGTGTGCTACATTTTTTACAGTTGATGAGCCATTATTATTGCTCTTTTTTTTTTTTTTTTTTAGCTGAGCCATCCTGCTACCTGTTGGCAGCTCAGCGGCTGCTCAGCTCGGGCTGGACTCGAACTGCTGTNGCGGCTGCTCAGCTCGGGCTGGACTCGAACTGCTGTTGCTCAGAGCTCAAACTCTTGAGCGAGCTCTTAACCAACTGAGCCACTCAGCCGGCCCTGATGAGCCATTATTATTAACTAAAGTCCATAGTTTAGATGAAGGTTCACATTTTGTGTTGTACATTCTATAGATGCACAACTGGGAAAATGACAAATAGATAATGACATGTACCCACCATTATTGTATCATATAGTAGTTTCACCGCCCTAAATACCCATGTGCTCTATTTATTCCCTCTTTCCTCTCCTCCTGAACCCCAGGAAACCACTGATTTTTTAACTGCCTCCATCGTTTTGTTTTTCCTACTGTGTCATATAGTTGCAATCATACAGACTTTTCAGATTGGTTTCTTTCATTTAGCAATATTCATTTAAGTTTCTGCCATCTTTTAATGGCTTGATATTTATTTCTTTTTTTACTGAATAATATTCCATTTATGTATGTGCCATGCTTTATTTATCTATTCACTTACTGAAGGACATTTTGGTTGCTTCCAAATTTTGTCAATTATGAATAAAACTGCTATAAACACCCATGTACAGTATTTTGTGTGGAGATAAGTTTTTATTTTATTTGAGTGAATTCCAAGGAGTATGACGGCTATATCATATAGTAAGAGTGTACTTAGTTGTGTAAGGAACTTCCAAACTGCCTTCCAAAGTGGCTGTACCATTTTGCATCCCCAGCAATAAATGAGAGTTCTTGTTGCTCCATATCCTTGCCAGTATTTGGCATTGTCAGTGTTTTGGATTTTAGCCACTTTGAGAGCTTATAGTAGTATTTCATTAATTTAATTTGCATTTTTCTGATAACATATGATAGGAAACATCTTTTCCTATGCTTATTTGCTATCTATATATTTTCTCTGATGAGATGTCTGTTCAGATTTTTTAGTCCATTTTTAAATTGGGCTTTCTTATTTTTTATTTTTATTTTTAGTTTCAGGTGTACAAAACAATGCAGTAGTTATCTTTTTCACCCTGCACAAAGTGACAACCCCTTTCCCCCATCCATGGCTCCCCCACCCCCGATATCATACATATCTATTACAATTACATTGACTCCATTCCCACACTATACTCGACATCCCGTGACTATATGTATATAAAATTATAGTTGACATACAATATTATTCAACATCAGCTTCAGATATACAGTGCAACAGTCAGGCCTCTACACTGTCTATAAAGTGATCTCCCTAACAAGATATGAGTCCATCTGGACCCCTAAAAAATATTTACAACATTATTGATTATATTCCCCAGGCTGTCTTTTCTATCCCTGAGGCCATATTGTAGTTACCAATTTATATTGTTTCGTCCCTTCTCCTTCTCTTTCATCCCCACCCCCTACCAACTAGCAACCATCAGCTTTTCCTCTGTGTCTCTGAGACTATTTCTGTTTACATTCTCATTTATTCAGCTCTTTAGATTCCACATATAAGTGAGATCACATGGTATGTGTCTTTCTCTGACTGACTTATTTCACTTAGTGTAATGTTCTGTAGGTCCAACCATATCATGGCAAGTGGTACAATTTCCTTCTTCTTTATAGCTGAGTAATACTCCATTGTGTAAATGTATCACAGTTTCTTAATCCAGTCGTCTACCGATGGGCATTTCGGTTGTTTCCAAGTCTTGGCTATTGTGAATAGCGTTGCAATGAACATAGGGATGCATGTATTTCTTCGAATTAGTGTCTTGGTTTTCCTGGATAAATCCCTAAGAGTGGAATTGCTGGGTCATAAGGTAGTTCCATTTCCAGTTTTTTGGAAATACCTCCATACTGATTTCCATAATGGCTGCACCAATCTGCAGTCCCACCAACAGTGCACCAGGGTTCCCTTTT